GCCTCCCCCCACCCCGCGGCTGTCTGGCTGGGACCCACCTCCACCCATCCCCAAATCAAAGGACTCTCCTCTCCTAGACATAATGGGATCTCCCTGCTCTCCTTCACGAACCTTGTAGAATCTCTCCCTCAATTCTACCATCATTTTATTAATGGATTCTTTCTCATCCTGCCCAACTCAGTGTAACAAAGGTTTCCTCATCTGTAATAGAACTCTTCAACTTGGCCCCCAGCATTACAGTGTAATTGTTCATCTTTTCCCTTGGCTAAAATACACTCGTTACCTCCCATTAGTATAATAAGGGACGATAATAAAACTATCAGAGCACGAACCAATCAAATGACCATGTGCAGTATTGGTGCACACCCCACGCAGTCCCACCCGTGGGAGGCGGCTCCTTACCTCCCGCTACTATAATGGACTTGCCTCACCTTCCCAGGCCCAGGCGGACTTTTCTGCACCCGCCCCTCCCATATAATGGACTATCCCTCTCGCCCTTCGTTTTCCTGGGGGGTCACCCCTTTCCCCAAACAGCCATCTGTAGGCCCCACCATGTCTCCTCTGGGCTCACCCCGAAGTAGTTACGGGGCACGTAGCCCTCCTGGCCGTGCAGCGTGGCCCACCACCAGTCCGTCTCCTCCGGCCCGTCCCTGCGCAGCACGGTGACCGACTCGCCCTCGCGGAAGGACAGCTCGTCCCCGAACTCGGCGCTGTAGTCCCAGAGGGCGTACACCATCCCGTTGTGCATCAGCCCCATGCTCTGCTCCACGTCTGAAACGCGAAAGGGCTCGTGAGGGCCAGGAACACTCAGGAACCCAAGGCACAGGCTCGCTGGGGACAGGGCCAGCTAGGCCTGGGGTTCGGTGCTGCCCCGGCTGGGGGTGAGCCACCTGAGCTGAGTCAGCTGCCAGGACTGGCGGTCTCGAAAGCTGGAGAACGTTGGGGTGCTTCAAGCTGGGCCAACCCCCAAGACAGGGCCAGAGGTCTCCATGCCCTCTTGTACATTAAGTCCCCATTCCCTCTGTTACATTCCCTCTTGTCCATTAAGAGCTACAGCCGCCTGCACCCCCCACTTAAGTGGTTCAGCCCTACTCGGCCTTCCCCTCGGTGGCCCCATCTCCCCTCTCCAGAGGGTGCAGCCCACTCTGCTCCACCTCCCTAGGTGCTGAAGTTTCCAAAAAGGATGTAATAACTTCCCTGGATGGCACAGCCCACCCACACCTTCCGCCCTGGAGTCCACCACCATCCATCGCCTCTAGTGCTTCAGCCCACCGTGTCCAATTTCCCCTCCCCGCCCTGCCCGGTGCGCGGTCCAATCTCCACCCTCACAGAACTCCCCATGTTCCGGACGGTGGGGCAGGACACTGCCTGTGGCAAAGGTGGAATGGCCCACCCCCCTCCTCAGAGGCCACAACCCTTCCTCTCTCTGGTGAACAGCCTACTTCCCCACAAGTGGCCAAATGCCAGTCTGCCCCTGGCCACCTGTAAGGCCGCTCTCACCCACTTTCTGCCAGAGCAGGCACAGCAGGCTTGCCTCGCCCCTCAGGCTCCTCTCCTAACCCCCCTGTCCCAGCCCCGGTCCGCAGCCTGCCTTGCCCCATCTGTGAAGTTCCTCACCCTGCCCTGTGCCCTCCAGGTGCGCAGTGCAGAGCCGATGCACACCCCGAGGTACAGCCTGCCCAGTTCCTCCCCTGACCTGGTTAGGCGCTGTGGCCCCCCCTCCTGGAGGTATACGGTACAGCCTCATATGGCCCTAAGTCAGCGGTTCTCAACCTGTGGGTCGCGACCCCTTTGGGGGTCGAACGACCCTTTCACAGGGGTCGCCTAAGACCATCGGAAAACACATATATAATTACATATTGTTTTTGTGATTAATCACTATGCTTTCATTATGTTCAATTTGTAACAATGAACTTGGGGGTCACCACAACATGAGGAACTGTATTAAAGGGTCGCGGCATTAGGAAGGTTGAGAACCACTGCGTGGAAGAGTCCCCGAGCCCCTCTGCAGAAGCCATGGCCCGCTCACCTGCCAGCTGCGTGTACTGTATCTCCTGCAGGGAGCACAGTCCACCTGCCCAGCCCCAGCTACGCCAGGCAGATGGTAGGGTTGGAAAGTCCTGCTCCCTCCCCGCCCCTCCCAGGTGAGAAAGCAAATGAACTGCCCAATTTCTACGACCACTTTTCTCCCCATTTAGAGTCCAACTTGCAAGGCACAGCCCCCATGGTACCCCTCTCCCTCCAAGGTAGCACCCTCTGCTCTCCCACCCCCTGCTTGCACCTGCGGGGGGGGGGAGGGGTCCATCCTGCAGCCCCCTCTTAAGCTACCTGAGCTACATGGTTGGAACAGACCCCAAGTCCTCCCTCTTTCCAGTGTGAGTGGCATCTGGGGCCTCCTCTCCCCCTTCCCCCGCCCATCAGCCAGCCCGCAGGCCCCGGCCCCGCCTCGCACCTGCCAGGTAAGTGGCGCAGTCGCCGTAACCCTCCCGGTAGGGGTCGCA